GGTGGGGCGGAGAGCGAGAGCGAGGAGGGGGGAGAGTGAGAGGAGAGAGACGAGAGAGAGAGAGAGATGCAGGTGTCATTCTAGCCTGTATGGAGTTTCTTTTGAGTTGATCACAGTAAGCTTTTGTTTGAAGTATTATACGGATTTTATGAAATCACCTTTTAGCAATTAATTCATGATTTATGTTGAGATCTGGACTGTTCTGCTTTTCACAACTCCAGAACAACCTGAAATATAAACTACAAATCAATCCACAGCGTTATGTCCATAAATTAGTATTTTGGAATGTGAGACCACTAATAGGTGATATTGTTATAACAATGACCCTTGATCAGTTTGTCACTACTAGTTAATTGGAATAACGAACGTCTTGAAGTACATTAAGTGATCTATATTATTCCAGTTCTTTTTAAAGACTGTCTCAAGCTTCTAAACTAATTGAATCTACTGAAAAAATCAGTACTTAATTTACATGGATATCCCTAACCAAAGATATGATAGTTTTTGGTTGCTGAAACATCTTACTTACAAAAAAAAATCATATATATAAAAAAAAAAATTTAAATTTCCTAGTTTCATTTGATCACTTTGTCTTGCCCTATCTTTCGAAAAGCTTGCAGTATTTTAAATTTCCTCTATTCCGTCTTTCTGCAGACTATGCTAACAGCAATTTCAATGAGTGCAATAGCAACAAATGGTGTCGTTCCAGGTAATTAAGAATTTTCTCTTAAATGGTGTATAGTCAAATGGTGGAAGTTCAAAGCTGGGATAAGAAATTGCTGTAGTCTGAGATATGAGAAGTGATGCTTTTGTGTCAAGTGCATATTTTCTTTTAAGGGATCTGTAAATGCCTTTTTAAGGTGAGATGCAATCTTTTACCCGGACCTTCTGGGTATTATGAGCTGTAGCACACTTTCATCATAGATCAATTGATTCTGTTTGAGTGAAAGATAAAATGTTATAATTTGAACTATGGAGATGGGCCTTCATGAAAAGCATATTGCTTTAAAAATAAGCCTGCTTTCCTGCCCTCCCCCCCTCCCTGCCCCCGAATTAGCCTAGACTCCGTTTCTAAACACTGGAACTTATGTTATTTTCTGCAAGAGTAATAGCCGGACTGCTGGCAGAAATCTTTTCCTCTAAGCTCATCTCCTTAAATTTTTTGGGATAAATGTATGAAGTTGTTCCTCTTCAACTACGAAGCTGATTTTTTTTTTTTTTTTTTTTAAGATGCAAGTTAGCCTTTGAAGCTCTTATCCTTTTCAGTTTCTCAACACATTAATTGAGAATACTAGTGTTCAGATATTGTTAATAACTCTGAACAGTTTATCTAACAAAATTAAAATAATTCCTCACTTACAGAGCTTCTCCAGCTTAGTAAAGGGTTCCAGAACTGATGCATAAGCTGTTTGGCAAAAGTAAATGCTGCAAATTGTGCAGGGTCCAGACTTGCATTTCATGGATACAGTACCATATATGAAATATAAGTACAATAGAAAATTTAGTTTTGAATACTTAGAATAACTACATTTTATTATAGAATATAATCAGTGTCCAGATAAGTAAACAGTTCTGCTCTTTTTCCCCATCATAGTTTTTAAAGTTCACTGTAAAGGTTTTGCTTAACATCTGAGTGACAGAAAACTTTGAAGTTGGCAGTTCTTACACTAGACACATCTTCATTTTTGCTTTTTTTTTTTTTTTTTTTAATTGATGCCAGTTCCTTAGAGAAATGCGGCTTCTGCTGGAATATATGGAGGAGGAAGAAGCACAGATAGGACTGAAAGAGACCTTCTGAGTGGCAGGATCTTGTCTCTTGCTGTTATGCAAAAGCATTGTATTTAGTGAAAGGGTTGGTGATGTTAGTTTCTCATTTGTTCATTGTGAGAAGCAGTTTCAGACCCTGCCTTTTGATTAGAAGTGTATTTCTTATTTGTAGACTAATTTTATACAAGGCTGGTGTATGTTTATTTAAAATAAAGCACTTCCTTTCTCTGCCTTCTCTTTCTTCCTCAGTTGTCATGAGTGGGGCAAACATCGTGAGTTTAAGAGAAGATGGAGAGGGAACCAGAGAGGAGCGTGCCTTGAGGGGGTTGGGGGGAAGTGTAGATAAAGAGCTTGAAACTGAGAGCCTTATTG